GGTGCCTGAAGGTCAGACTGTCAATCAGGTTTATTATAAAAATGTTTTGACGTACCTCCGTGAACGTGTGCGACGAAGGAGACCAGACATGTGGAAGAATGCCTCATGGGTTCTTCATCACGACAACGCGCCAGCACACAACGCGCTATCTGTGAAGAGGTATTTGGCAAAAAACAACATTCCAGTGATGGAACATCCACCGTATTCTCCGGACCTAGCACCGTGCGACTTTTTTCTCTTCCCAAAAATCAAGTCTGCGCTGAAAGGGACCAGGTTCGAGTCCGTGGATGCAGTGAAAGCAAAAGCGACGCAACTCTTGAAGAGCATAACACAAGATGACCTGCAGCACTGCTTCCAACAGTGGAAAATTCGCATGGAGCGGTGTAGGGATCGGGGAGGGGACTACATTGAAAGGGATAACATTTCGACTGTCTGATTTTTTTTAATAAAGGGTTAGAGCATGAATCCGGTTTCTTCATTGCCACACCTTGTATAATACTTGAAATTTGTATTTACAGAAATGAAAGGAACTATTTACTAAAAGCCTGAGAAGCAGAGCCTGGAAACACAGTTAACCAGACAGCCCCAACTACTGGCAGATGCTAAGGTGCATATGATAAATGAAAAGAACATGAAATTCCTACCAACCTAGAGACCATCTTCCCTTTCAGCTTGCTAGTGCAGGGTGTGGAAAAGGTTCACCATTGCAAGGAAATAGGGAGTAGGGAGAAAGGGTATGGAAGAAAGAAAAAAACAAACATAAATGAAATTAGTCATATGTCCACACTATGGACCTACACACTAGGGAATACCATAAGAAGCTGAAAAAAATGACTACACTGATTACTTGTATGCTCTTTTGAAGAATATATCTGGAACATATCAACAGATCACCTTTATAATATTGTGTTCTATTATCACTTTATTTTTATATAGATAAATAGCTCTTGCAATACAAACAAGAGGCTGTTTTGTTATGCATATATTCAACTCCTCACAAGGCGATCAACTGCCTAGCATGAATACAAATATTATATTATGAGTCACTGACATAAATGGTGCACTATGTAATACAATTATGGCAGAGGCAACAAAGATATGGGCAAAATGTGATCAGCTACATAGTTTCAAGGCTAATGTTTCAAAATTTTGTTCCTAACAATTCCCCCCCCCCAAAAAAATCGTTATTATCAACTTTAATATTGTTGTATTTTAGCGTCCTGTTGCACTGATTCTCATCCATGATATGTATGTTTTGGCTGTCTTGTAGTGCACTCAATCTCACATGTCACTTCACTACATGTTTCGGCATCACAGTGCCATCCTCAGGTGCGTTGTTTATGCTAAGCTATTGAATTGCTTGCCATCATGTGTTGTTCATAAAATTATTTAAAATGTAAATTCTTCATCAACTATAATAAAATTTGTATACACTAAAACTTGCTAAGATTTATTGTCTTATATGTCTTAATTCAAACTCGCGTATTGTATGATTCTTCCGCTATGGGAGTCGTTTTTCCTATATTGTGTATGCTGTGTCTTGTGGTGTGTCCTTCCTTGTTGGCTACGAGCATCGTAAGTGTTCAATAAATGCAAACCCCGTCTATACTCACTCATACGCGTGACANATATGCGAGCTTGAATTAAGACATATAAGACAATAAATCTTAGCAAGTTTTAGTGTATACAAATTTTATTATAGTTGANTATCATCTTATATGCCTTAGTTCAAGCTCGCATATAGTATGATTCTTCCACTATGGGAGTCGTTTTTCCTATATTGTGTATACTGTGTCTTGTGATGTGTCCTTCCTTGTTGGCTGCTCGCAGTATACACAATATAGGAAAAACGACTCCCACAGTGGAAGAATCATACTATATGCGAGCTTGAATTAAGACATATAAGACAATAAATCTTAGCAAGTTTTAGTGTATACAAATTTTATTATAGTTGATGAAGAATTTGCATTTTAAATAATTTTATGAACAACACATGATGGCAAGCAATGCAATAGCTTAGCGTAAGCAACGCACCTGAGGATGGCACTGTGATGCCGAAACATGTAGTGAAGTGACATGTGAGAATGAGTGCACTACAAGACAGCCAAAACATACATATCATGGACAACTTTAATATATTGTGAGTTGCTGGGAGGGGTCGATGTATGGAGAGAGAGAGAGAGAGAGAGAGAGAGAGAGGTATAGATATATGGAAGAATATGGAGCTAAAATGGATGAATAACAGACTGGATCGATGGATGGACAAAAGACTAATCAGGGCTATACATATTAATCTATTCTGTATTACCTTCTACTTCTAAAGTTTTAATATACCTAGAAGTATTCCAGAACAGAGTTTCCCAAATTTTATCATCCATGTAACCTTTGCCATAAAATACCATATGACACCCAAGTAAAAGAAAAACTCTTGACACTCCTTTACATGATATATGTAACTGAAAGTCAAAGGAAATTAAAACTGAAGCTCTTTTCTGCAGCACACTTGAATCATTGAGAGAAATAATTTCCTTGTTGAAAATTTACATTGGTATTCCTACAATAGGTGTAGCCTCCAGTACTCCAGTATTTGGTTTTGTCATGATATATTGAGAGCATTAATTTTATTTCAGAATGTAAAAATCGTTGAAAAATACTGAGATAGATTTTGGAGCTGAAATAATTGCATAGTAACATTAAATTTCCAATATCAACTTTTGGGTACTTTGTTATTTTTTCTTTAACACTTGTCTCTGATGTTTTAAACCAGCATTTTTTCATTGATGCATCCAATAGCAGTCTTTCAGACTAATGAATATTGTACAAGAAATAGTTCCTGATATTTCCTAACAAAAGAGCTTACAGCTTCATGTACAGAATATTTCTACAGTCCACATATTTAAAAAAATCTGATTTGATAATCATGAAACCATAAAAAACACTATACAATAGAATGATGCAAAATAATCAAGAGCAATGTACTTTCCAGAAGCGACTATTTGTGAAAAATAAGCCAATTAATATAACTGCACTTCAGAGCTGCTAAAAATAATAACTCTGTAGATGCATGTTTTGTGTAAAGACATTCTGTGACATATTTAATTTATAACTGCAAATACACACTAATGCCAATACCACATCACCCCAAAAGTCAAATGGCAACTGTAAGTAAATCTATCATGACAGAAAGATGATAGGAGGTGTACTATCCTCTAACAATAAAGTTTAAAAGAAGAATAAAATCTTAGGTGATCCCAATAAAAGCGAATGTGTTGATGCTGATAATAATAACCAAACAAAAACCATAGGTAAGAGGAATTTAGAATAAATTTTGGGTGTCAAATGTCTCACATGTTCCTAATAATCATGGCAATATTCCTAAGGAAGCTAACTGATTCCTAGGGGATTAACTCTTCTGTCGGTTTGCTATTCAGTCTAAATCATACCACAGACAACATTCAGATAAATACAGAGGGCCAAAAATAATGCATACAAATTTTAATAGATGTTATCTATGAACAATTTTCGAAGTCAAACCAAAATGTAATGTATGGTGTGTAGTGTGATATTGTCTCAAAAGATGGTGTTAGTCACATAAATGCCAGAACCACCTTATCCAGTATCGGCCGTATTCTTAGACATTAAAAGCGCATATGACAACGTCCACTTTGATGGATAGACTCAAAGCCGTTGGCTTTTCGGGAAACCTGATAGCTTTTATATTTAACCTGGTCTCCGCAAGGGAATTAGAGGCAAACTACGGGGGGGTAGAGCTCAAAGACTGGACATACAAAGGCTTACCCCAAGGTAGCGTACTGAGTCCAACCTTATATTCACTTTATATGGCTGGACTGAAATCCAAAATCAACCAGAACTGCAAAATCCTGGAATACGCAGATGATGTTGCAATTTATTCAGTTCACAGATGTAGCAGAATTGGTGTGGCAGAAGTTGAAAAGAGCATACAAAGCATTGAACTCTATCTAAAGGAAAGTGGCTTGGAAATAGCACCAAAAAAATGTCAACTGTGTATCTTCGATAAAAAAGGTACAACAGAAGGAGAATGGGAGATTAAGGTACAAGGGGAAAAGGTTTCCTCAGTCAAATCAATAAAATTTTTAGGTCTGCACCTAAAATCCAACTTAGACTGGGAGGACGAAATAAACGCAATAGTCAGG